GGGTGATCACAATGTCTGGGAGATTAGATTTGATTCTGTTGGGCTGTTTTGAAGTTCTATCGAATTTTTTACAGTTCCTATCACTGTAACGGTGTTTGGGTGATGTTCATACAAGTTTCTTGCTGTTTTCTTTCTGTAAATGTTGCATATTTTCCATTGCATATATTTTCCAGTGCAGATAATGGCTTACTCAGTCATGCCGGCTTTTATATTCAGTGGATGCCAATACCGTGCAACCAAATACAAGACGGTTAATTGTTTCTGGAAATGTATCACAGAAACTGAATTTTGGGCTACCACAATTTTTCAGTTTGTGTACTTGGTAATTTCTAGTTAAGAAAAGAATGAAACCTTCGGATTTTTATTATCATTATTATTTATATAATAATAAAACTGTGTGAATGTGTGTGTTCCTGAGAATGATACAAAATACTCCAACCAATTTAGGATCATATGCCTTAAACCTCTGTCGGGTGCATCGTTTATTCATTTATTTTGTACGGTTTATCTAACATTTGCAGGATATTTAAATTAATTTCATAAAACATTTTAAATTGTAAAATGATTTAATCTGCGCTTACAGCATCTGCTTCTGACCTGACTCGATGTTGCTTAACTTTAGTAATTATACGGGAACAGGTTTTTCAATGTGATGTTTTCATAAGCCTTTTTTTTAATGCAGTCGATTGCAGTGCCAAATTTTATTAAAATTAGACAAGATCGTTTTTCTGTTTTTACGGCATGTTTAATAGGAAATTCACTATTTGTTTTCGATACACATTCTTATATCTATCTGAGTCTATAAAAAACACTTGCATATTATATTTTAAATATTATGCTTATGAAAAGTAATAAATGCTCATAATAAAATACTACAATATTATTAAATAATTTTATATGTTCATAAAACAACACATATTTATAAAATTCATATTAGAACATTAATTAACTGCTTGAAAGGTGAAAAGGTTATATGTGTCACGTGACCTGATGGTAAATAAATAAATAGACGCACGCTGATTTGCAGCCGTCACATATTTTTTAATAGATGCAAGGAAGAAACATATGTATAATAAAATATATTTATTACTTTGAAAAATACTACACCTACTATAAGTTATTTACTTCAAATTTTCACGCAGTATATTAGCTATGAACCCCCGTGGAACAATAAACCTTCTCTCGATGTCATTTGTATTAAATATTAATTTTTTATTGAAAATAAATTTTATACGAAGAAATTTATCTTTTAATGTAAACAAGTAAAACATATATCTGTTGATATCGTAAACATAATTAATTTTCATATTTTAAATCAGGATATAATTTCTTTAAGGCGTCATTGGTGCCTTTCATTCTTTTAGGGTTTGGAATTTTTTTAACTAGTAATTAATAAAAATATACAGGTGATTTTGGAAAAGACTACACCTGTCTGAAGACAATTTCTTCAAATTTAATGTAATGTGTTAACTATGAATCCCAGAAGAATAAATCTTTAGAAACGTCGTTGAATCCCAATTAAGATATATAAGTAATAATAAAAATGATAGTATTTTTACCTCATCATTTTGTACCGGGAACTGCTTTTAAAAGTAACTTAACCTGTTTATGGATGGTCTAAAATACATACATACATACATTTTTGTAATTGTTTATCTCACAAGCCATTAATATTTGTCACTTGATTTTTAACAGTTGTATCTATTCAAGAGATGATTTTTTATTCAGGTATCATTAATTCTAGAGGCATTAATTCTGGAGTAATGGTTAAATAAGTTCCCTTGGAAGAGGTATAAATCCATTACTTCTCTCCCAGCTATGGGTTAATTAGCAAGATTTATATCACTAAATCATTATTATCTAAAATATTTTTCTTCCATCCTGGGCCTTTGTTTTCCTCATTCTTACTTTCGGCTTGTAAGTATTTATTTTACTTAAGTATTTTATCCCAAGCAAGGCAATAAAGCAACTAAGACGCAAGAGGTTACTGAGTATGAGATGATATCGGAAAAAGAAAAAAAATACTAAGAGGAGAGAACATAAAAAGAACAGGAATTAAGAAAAACAGAAGTTAACGCTTCACATTGCATTTGCATTTCTGAAGGTCAATGTTGAGCGGGAAGAAAAGCGAAAGTAGTAACTTTACGCCTAGAACTGATAGATACATGTAGCCATTTTAACTGTAAAATGATGAGCCTTTGCCTCCAATCTAGTAATGACCTTCATAATGTTATTAGGTTGGTTGGTTTATTTAGTTTAGCGGTATATCAATCTCTTTGGGTTATTTAATACCGAAATCTAATTGTGTCTTAGTGGCTTTACCACCTTTGCAGGAGTTATATATTGTAAAAATATACCTCGAACTGATTTAATGAAAATAGCTGTGTGACGTCCCTCTCCACACAGCCTTCTCCGCCCCTCGCTGCTTCGTTCGGGTGTCGCCGCTCCAAACGTGACGACCGCCTGTTTGCGTCAGTCGTTTCGTCCAGTCCTGTGACGACCAACTGGCTTGGTATCGGTCGCGGCACCCAAATGTGACGTTCTAACCTTTTGGTGATGCGGATGGGAATCTGGTTAGATTCGATATCAGCCTCGTCGTTCCCAACTCGCTTCCAACGTCTGGTTACCAAAGTAACTGCGTTGATCTCCAGTCCGCCTACCCACGTTGTGAATTGATCTTAGGCAGACGAAATCAATCAGTCGTTGGGGCCGTAATGCAAATTGAGTTCAAACGAGGGTGATACCACACAAATATGCATAAAAGAAAAGAAAATGATAACTCAAAAGTTCAAGGTATCAAAAAAAAATGGATAACAATACTTTATATCTGGTTGCTGGATACATAGGACTGCGTCTATCTCCCGACCCGCTATATGGATTGTGACACGTTGTTTTTGTTAGGCGAGTTTTAACATCTTAAGTTGTCTGTTCTTTAAGAAATTGGTTCTTGGTGTGTCTTCAGGCGATAGTCGAAAAACTTATTTTGGTGGTATGGATCTATGACGCTCTTCAAAATAAATTGTTCTTGGATTGAAGATGAGTTCGGAAGTTGCGCGAATCTTAGTCAGCTGCGAGGCCTGCTTCAACTGAGCACTCTGGATTGAACTCCTCTGAACTGAACTGAACTCAACTGAACTCTGAACCAAACTGATTTTTGCTCGCTGCGACTTTGCTTATATGGACGCCGACCAAAACCGGGTCGGGTTTGTCGGGGTTGGAGGTTCCTCGATAATTCTAAATCCATATCCACTTTTTTATTTTTGGTTAGGAATTTTCCACTCCTTTCCATTTTTGGAAGTCTTCTATTACTCCCACCTTCTCTTTATTCTCATATGGATATCTCACCATATTTCAGAGGGGCGTCAACGGTTCCCCCCACTTCTTCGTAGCAACTTCTCATACCTATCCTCTAAATGGGCGGTGGCATCTTCCCTCCTTGCGTCACGTGAACACCTCCGCCTGGCCCTCGTTATCATTCGGCGAATGCTGTCCAGCCGGGTGTGTGTGATCCGGCTGGCTTTGTTTTAGGAAGAAAAAAATATATATATATCTTGCTCAAAAAAAAAAATTATCTCTCTCTTTTCCTTTTCTTTCCTTAATCGCAGTCTCATCCCCCAATCCATCAATGACAATTATCAAGTGGGGTAGTCGTTTAGCGAAAACACAGTCGACCGTCGTCTCGAAAAAAACAGTTCCATTGTTCTAGCCGTATTTGCATTCTTGGTGCCAATTTCTGATAACATAGTTTTGTTATCACAACCGAATTCTAACACCCATAGATGTCTTGTCAAAACGGCCAAGACGTGACCCAGGGTTGGCTTCGTGTTCCGTTAGCAGGCGACCTATTAAATCCTTTCCCGACAATATTGTTTGCCCCCTCTGACACAGTTAATTTTTCTTATCTATCCAAAGCTCTATATTCACCTGTTCTTTGTCAGACAGTTCTACGACACTGGTGGTCAGAATTTTCACTATCTTTTCCATTATCAAAATAACATTGTCAATTGTCTCGGAGTTTTTAGCTAGCCGGTCTGTGGTTTGTTAATTAGATGTTCGCCAGCATTAAGTGGCTGTTATCTATCCCCGATAACACAAGTTCGCCACCAGAACATAGTCGATTTTCTTATCCATTTAGAAATTTTCTGCAATGGTAATGAAATCTTTCGCCATTTGCTACTTATCAAAATAACATTGTCAATGTCCCCGGTCGTGGGTGGCTTCTTTTATCATCTAAGCTTAAGTCTCGCCTCTCTTTTCCTTTCTTTCCTTTCTCTTTTTCCTTTCTTTTTTTTTCCTTTTTTTCTTTTTGTGCCCTTAAATGGTGTCACACTGGTCACGATTGTTTTATAATAATAAGAACATGGTGATTGAAAAGTAACTTTCTATTTTATGTTTAATGCAATTTTCAGTCTAAATATATTCCTTAAAAGACGGGAGAGTCAATAATATATAAAACAGGGATTTACTTTTCAATCACTTTGTAGTTGCCGATGATATTTTTTTCGATGAATAAAAATGTAGTTTCAAATCATGCTGTGAGCTTATTATTCTATTCGGGTTGACTCTGAATACAAAATGTACTGAATAAGAGGCTAAAGTGGTGAAATATATATATATATATATATATATATATATATATATATAAAATTATTTATTTAAAAATATGATTCCAAATCGCGACATAGGAAGTCTCATGTTTCAAAACAAGAGCCGAAAACTTCAGTATAATTATTTAAATTAAACTGAGTTAAAGTAAGCTCTGTTCCATCTTCAAGCGAAATTATTTTTGGAATAACGTATTTCTGAAATTTACGTGTTTTAAAAATTGAAATCAAAATTTCAATGGTAACAGCTAGGGCGAATTGTTTAAATTGGGTAGGCGAGTGTTGGGTGTTAATAATAAGTATCACTATAGAGTTACTTTCATAGATGTCAAGTCAGGGAAAGGTGGGCGTGTCTAAATTTTAAACGGAAGATGTATTAACCCTCGTCTAGTTTGCATGTCTATGGAGATTTATTTATTTTCTTTATCTACCAATTCTCCTATTCATTTCTTTACCTACCACTTCACCTATTCTTTTCTTTACCTACCTCTTGTCCTATTCTTTTATTTACTTACCTCTTCACCTATTCTTTTCTTTACCTACCTCTTCTCCTATACTTTCCTTTACTTAACTCTTCTACTATTCTTTTCTTTACCTAATTCTTCTCCTATTCTTTTCTTTGCCTACCACTTCCCTTTTCTTTACATACCTCTTCACCTATTTTTTTCTTTCCCTACCTCTTCTCCTATTGTTTATTTACCTAACACTTCTCCTATTCCTTTTTTCCCTACCTCTTGTCATACTCTTTCTTTAACTACCACTTCTCCTATACTTTTCTTTAGCTACTTCTTCTCCTATACTTTTCTTTACCTACCATTTCTCCTATTCTTTCTTTACATACCACTTCGCCTATTTCTTACCTACCTCTTGTCCTATTCTTTCATTACTTACCACTTCACCCATTGTTTACTTTACATACCACTTCTCTTATCTTTACCTACCTCTAGTCCTATTCTTTACTTTACCTACCACTTCTATTCATTCCTTTACCTACCTCTTCTCCTATTCTTTTCTTTACCTAACTCTTCTCTCATACTTTTCTTTACCTACCACTTCTCTTATCTTTACCTACCTCTTGTCATATTCTTTTCATTACTTAACTCTTCTCCTATTCTTTCCTTTTTTATTTTTTTCGTCCATATTTTTGGCTCTTTTCCTTTTAATTTCCTGGAGGTTCTAATTCCATTTTTTCTTCGAGGAAACTCCATTGCCAGCCAGTTTTCTTTGCCAACGAACATAAAAGCGGATATGTCTTGCATCTTTATCTTACAAGCGTATATCTTGCCAGTAGGTAGATTCCCCAACATAATGGAGTGCTAGTTAGTTCAATTCCTACCAAAAGCATTCATACTCCCGAAAAATAATTCACTTCATCGGGCACATGTCGGAAATTTAATGTCGAAATCTAAATATATTGGTACGTAACTTTATACTTTCAACTATAGATAGTTTGTATATAATTTTATACCTTCAAGATAAAAATATCTTTTTTAATATATATAGTTTGAAGATCATGAAATGTATTGTTATTAATTTTACTAATGTTGCATATGTTTCTAAGAACATTTGCCGTAAATATTTTTATCGTAGGAAAACTCGCTTCAGGAATTTTCGCCGCAGAAATCTTTACCGTATAGGTTTTTTGCCGTAAGACAAATTCGCCGCATTTTTTTAATATGCGAAGAACCTTTTTATCAAGTATATCTATCTGACACTATTGCTACTTGGATTTAAACATTAAAATAAACGAAGTTATAGGATCAAAATCCCAGATTATTCATCCTCGTTAGTGATGGAACGCAAAATTTCAACTTGACACTAGAACCTGCGTTACGCAATTTCATATTTCAGATGCAGCACAAATGAAGAAAATATATATTGATATCAATGCCAAAATTCAGCGGATAATGCTTCATTACAGTCCAACGAAAAAGACACATTATTTAAAAAGCATTGCTTGGAATATGCACACATTTTAAATTATGTCTTTGTTAATTTGATATATTTTGAGTCTTTTATTTTTTAAAATAAATGTTTACTTTTTAATTTCGTTTCTGATGTTTGACCCTGTAAACAAGACATCCATATATAATTGATAAGAAGGTACTTTGCATTACTGAACATTACTACAAAACAGACGTTCAGTATAAGGGTATCGAAAAAAGATGGGACGAAATTGTCTTATGAGAAAAATCCTATACGGCGATTTTTTCTACGGCTAAAATGTTTAAGGCGAATGTTCCGGATACGGTTACATATATTCGTTCGTGCTTTTCTGATCTTGTGCGAATGTTCTCGAATAATAATCTTTCATAGCATTTCTTTTTTGCTTCTTAGTATATCTCATTTGTGCCATGTACGGCGATGACATCGTTACCGACAGAAATGGTTTTCCCGTTTCAAGGTGGTGGGGGGGTGTTTGAATTCACATATTCTCCGCCTTCTGACTGATCTGCTCAGTTTGATGTGAACCAATTGCTCGCACTTATTAAAGAACCGCTCTAGAAACAATTGCTCGCACTTATTAAAGAACCGCTCTAGAACACTATAAAATTATCTGGGAAGATGGTAAGCTATCTCGTTATTGTTGCTTGTCATCTTCACTCAATGGGTAAGGTCTGGAAACACCGAGCATGGAGGAAACACACATTGACACCAGTTTACTTGATTGGCACCACGCAACTCGTGGATATTAAAAAGTAGTTTCTATCGACAAGGCATTGAACAGTTAATAAATCATTGAGAGGAGGCCGTAAACAATAGAGGCAAATATATTTTTTAATGATATATCAGAAGAATTAATAAATAAAAAACAATAAAATCATACTTATAAAACACAGGTTGTGTGTGTGTGTGTGTGTGTGTGTGTGTGTCTGTCCGTTTATATATTGGATCGGATTTCCTACATTTTTCAACCGATTTCAACAAAACTTCACGGGACTACGTAAAATTACCTTGCGGTGGTTCTGACAGCACCAAAAATTGGAAAAACACAATTGCTTTTGCACGAAATCAATTTGAAAACACGATTAAGAGGCATCGCTGTCGAGAATGAAAGGGTGACAACTCATATCGAGTTATACTTATTATAAAACCCAGGTTGTTTGTGTGTGTGTGTGTGTGTGTGTGTGTGTGTGTGTGTGTGTGTGTGTGTGTGTTTTCGTTTATATATGGGATCGGATTTCCTACATTTTTAAACCGATTTCAACAAAACTTCACTTTTTGTGGGGCAGGTAGTGTTTCTTATTGTCTTGCACACTTTTTTCTTTATTTTTACATTCAGAATGCTTTAAAAATTCCATTTACAAGACAATTGTTTATAAGAAAATTCTATTCAACGATTGAAAACAATGCCTTTGTTTGAGTTTGGGTTTGACCAATTCGTAAAAAAAAAAAAAAAAAAAAAAAAAAAACACTAATTAAGACATGCGTGTACGTCAACGTTAAACAATAATCTTTGTCAATTTTATTTTTCAGTCTTTATGATGGTCGATACTTGATCTATCTCTTACTGTTACATCCCCGGGCAACGCCGGGCTCTACTGCTAGTAAATGATAAAAAGCGAATGAATTCTTCCTTAGAGGAATTTATAAATTTCTATTAATTCCAAAATAAACTGATTTTTCTGCTTAACTTTATTTATTTCTTAATTTATTGAACCAATTGCTAGGTTTACTGAATTGTGCCAGCTCAAAAAATCTTGTCGGCATTAAATAACACATTGAGGTAAAACAAAACAAACAGAAGAAGAAGAAGAAGAAGAAGAAGAAGAAGAACGTAGTAAAATGATGTCGTATCGTATACGGTGTTATTCACCTGACCTCTCCAATAACGACACAATACGTTTTAAAATAAATAATTAAAAAGGAGGGATTGATTCAAATTTGGTTAAAACAGGAAGTGAAGACGAGAAAAAGAAATTGACGAGTTATTACAGAATGCGATGGATAAATTGTCAAAATGACGCCAAAATGAAAATAACACTGACGTTTCATTTTAACACATAATTACCAAAATTACACAGAGATATCTTGCAATGCTAAAGAATACAAGATGGTCAGAAAGTCTAGTCAGATTCTATCAAAAAATAATGAGAACAATAGAAGTATACAAGTACAAGTAATACAAACACATGCACTGGATTCAGTTTATTCATTTTCATTGACGCTCTCACACATCGAGAATGTCTATTCCTGGCACAAATTGAGGCGGCACCGTGTCCTGTGTTTATATTTTACAAAGCTGTGCTGCAAACGGCGTCCTTCAAATGATGGGCATTCTGCGACTGTTTACTCCTTGATAATAGCCCACAGAGCGTTGAAATACAAACGATTATGATATATAAGGCTGACAAGACATTCGGACCACCCTCTACATTTATTAAAATTGCCATTGGCTTCAACCATGGGCTTCAGACGACATCGGATTATCCTCCATCACTTCAGAACGGACTCCTTGTTTAAATTAGTGGTTACTGTCACAACGATTGCCTTTAGCTCATCTTTTGTCGTTTTTGGTCGCTCGCTTAACTGCGCGCTACACAATAATCAAGGGAGTTGCAGTCTGAGGAGTTAAGTAGCAAGATATAAGGAGTGAGTGGCAGTTGAAAATGTCTGACGACGAAGACTGGATTCTCTTGACTGTGTGGCATGCTGCATAGTCCTGTTGCCAGATACAGCAGCCATTCTGTTGCCTCAAGGCAGTACCACCTCCTCAATGCAGGCATCTGTATTGAGTCTGAGACCCTATGGAAAGATAGAAGGATGCATAGTGTCGCCATCCCTAGTGACCACCCCAAACACCATCCTAATTATCATCAGACTCATCCAAATCTTTCTGAATCCTCTGCACTCTCCTCAGATTGATACCCAAACATTATGAAATGTTTGTATTGAAGGTTTCGGCACGAATGTCAAGCAGTACGGCATGTCATTTCCAAATTTCTGGCGGAGAGAATTTTGTGATGGTGCATTTTTTCATACAGATTGTGCCAAACCGTGCCTACTATACTGTGAGGCCTACAACATGAAAAAGAAAAAAAAAAACGCGCATGCGCGAATTTAAAAATATAATATGGCCGCAGTTTATCCATCGCACTCTGTATCACTATTCATAGGCTTGTGTTGATAGAATAAATCTTCTACAATGATTAAATCAATAAATCGATCAGTCTGCGTATCCGGCTAATTGTCTCAATCTTATAGGATTTATGTGAACTCAGGATTCCTGATTTAATTATGCAAGTCAATGTTTTCACAATAAATTTGATATTAACGTAACAATTCTTGTACAATTCTTACGTTATATTAATACGATAACTATGGAATGTGAAATTCAACATATCTATAGGATTTCTTTAAAAGCATTTCAACCTTGCATGGCAACAAAGCCACTATAATGCAGGGGTATACTGAGTGTGAAAAAATATAATAAAAAATAAAAATATTATTAGAGAGAACAATAAAAGAACAACCTTAATGAAGACCGAAAATAATGATTGACATTGCATTTCAATTTTTGAAAATCAAAGTTGACTGGGAAGCAAAAAAACGTTTCACAGTCGAGAAGGGCGAGAGAAGAAACTCTTAGCATAGAATTTTCGGTTGCTTCTAGCTATTTTAACTGTAAAATGATGAGACATTGCCACCAATCTAGTAATATATTACTATATTGAATATATGTTAAGAATATTTGTGTCGGCTCATGTTTTATGAAATCTATTGACGGAGTGGGATGGGCTTCGACAGGTTAAAACGCCCAAAACACCAAAAATCCTTTGGCACACAAACCGCGACGGATCGAGGAGAATGTGGACTGTTCAGAACGTCAGTGTCTTAATAACTTCTTCCGGGGTGAGGGGCGAATGAAGAAAAGAAGAAGCGTCCTGGTCAAGACGATAAACTACATCCGACACAAGGCCTCTGATCATGAGGTCTTGAGGAGCGTGGAACTACCTCATAATTGATGTTGTTCTCAGCTCCACCCTGACCCGGGGTGGTAGCACATGTTAGGGTCCCAGAAATTGGCAAAATGTTGACAGCCAAACTGAGTTAAAACACTATGACGGTGTAAAAATAGGTTTTAATACCAGCAATTATCATCGTCATCCTTCACGTCATCCCCTTGACTTTTTTAATCGGATCCGAATGCAGAAACCACTCTAAATCTCCCCCATCTCTATGAAAGGCAACCATCAGAACGTCTGGTTTAGTCATGCCTGTCCATTGTCCATTGTTTGATAGTGTCCAACCAGTTTTTACGATGGTATTCTCTCCCATGTCCAACTTCAAAGGTGCTTTACATGATGGTCTTGCACAGG